CCGCGGGGCAGGGCCGGGCCGGGCCGCCCTCCGCTGACCTCGCCGGGAGGAAATGGCGGCCGCGGCCTGGCCGGGTGTTCGTTACAGCGAGCGCCGGGTTCTGAGCGGAGTTACTCGGTAAAACCGTGATGAACCCTGCGGAGCGGAGCGGGGCGGGGGGGGGGCGTTAAGGTACAGCGAGAAGCCCGGTCACCACCTCACCGTCCTTACCGCAACGGGAAACTATCTGACCTCAAAACCGCCCAGCCTGCTACTGGCACCCCTTCAGCCACGCTGCTGGGGGGCTGCTTCTCACGGATTAGGCCCAGGAGGCTTAAAAGTTAATAAAAACCACCGCGGTGAACAGCAGGGCTGAGAGGACCCCTCCTCCAGCTTGTGCAGTAAGAAGCAAAGGCTGTGTCCGAAGAGCCGCCGAGCTCTGTTCCGGTGCGGTGGGCTTCGCCCAGAAAAGCCTCTGTTAATCCAGCGCTCCTGGTGTCCCCCAGCACAAGCCAGCAAGACTGTGCGTGTGTCCCAGCTCCATCTGCTCTCACCGGGGACAGTCCAGCCCGGACACGTGTCCTAGGCGGTGGCGGGGCAGTTGTCGCTGGCAGAAGATGATGTGCAGAGCGTGGAGCAGCCGTGTTTTGAACAAGGCGAGTGTGCCAGGGCTGCCTGGGATGTTGGCACCGGCACCTTCCCCAGCTGATGTCCGGCCCTCCGCTGCAGGTCACGGCTCCAGCACTGGGGCAGTAGCATCTGGGCAGCTGTGTCTGTTCTTCATAGGATCACAGAACGGTTTGGGTTGGAAGGACCTTTAGAGGCCAGCTAGTCCAACCCCTCTGCAATGAGCGGGGACACCTTTAACTCAGTCCGGCTGCTCAGAGCCCCGTCCGACCTGGCCTTGAAGGATTCCAGGGAGGGGACATCTGCCACCTCCCTGGGTGACCTGTTCCAGTGTTTCACCATCTGCATCATAAACATTTCTTCCTTGTATCTAATCTAAATCAACTCTCTTTCAGTTTAAAACCGTTACCCCTTGTCCTATTACAACAGGCCCCGCCAAAAGGTTTGTCCCCCCCTTTCCTGTAGCCCCTTTCACTACTGGGAGGCCACTCCTAGGTCTCCCCGGAGCCTTCTCCAGCTGAACCCCCCAACTCTCTCAGCCTGTCCTCACAGAGGGGCTCCAGCCCCCCGAGCATCTTCGTGGCCTCCTCTGGACCCACTTGAGCAGGTCCGTGTCCTTCTGCTGTTGGTGCCCCAGAGCTGGACCCAGCACTGCAGGGGGGTCTCCCGAGAGTGGAACAGAGGGGGAGAATCCCCCCCTCGCCCTGCTGCCCACCCTGCTCTGGGTGCAGCCCAGGACACGGTTGGCTTTCTGGGCTGTCAGCACACAATGCTGGCTCATGTCCAGCTTTTCATCCACCAGTACCTCCAAGTCCTTCTCCGCAGGGCTGCTCTTCACCAGCCACCCCAAAGAAGCCAGGGATGATGACTAATCCACTAATCTAATTGATCATTGAGTCCAAAGATGAGAAGCAGTTTTTGCTAGCTTCAGTCTCTTCTGTAGCCCTTGTGACCATGGGGACCCAGGATAAAGACCTGCAATTCCTGGACTGTTTGTGTAAAAAGCTACTTAGGCGATAATCCTAATGGTAACTGTGATCTGCAAATTCACAGCAGCCTTTTCCTGAGAGAGGGTATTATTCTCTCCATTACTGTTTCTGCTCTTGCATAGAAAATATAAGAGATGGAGAAGCAGAATTGGGGACAGCCACATAGAAAGATCAGAAAAGAAGCTAAAAGGTGTGACAGCAAAGAGCCACAGGAGCAAGGCACTAGTGATATATTTTAGGAGAGCTAAGCCTCCTGTGGGACCATCACTCTTCAGAGCCATCCTGTTTGCTCCACTCCCTCTGCCCGTTCTGAGGCCCTTCTTGAACTTCATTAGTACAGTCGAGAGAGCTGAAGGTCAATCCAGATATCCAGGACTTCACACTTGCCAGAGACATTTTATTGAGGAAGTCCATAAGTCCTCTTTAAGACCTTTCACTTTCCCTGTTCTGCACTTCCTCTGTGAGGACTCCTGTGAGATGGACAGACACTTCTGCCAGGCCAGTGTCATCTTCCTGCACAGGATGAAATCCCATGTGTGGATGATGGAGGTCTCAAAACTCCCATATGAAAAGCAAATCAGAAATCACCAAAGCCAGACAAGTAGGTATTTTCCCCTCTCCAATTACAGCCTGATAAAGCTGAGCACAATATTTATTCCTCCATGTGTTATTAAAAAAAAAAAAAATCCATGAAAATATGTCAAAGACAAGGAAGAGAAGCAAAGAGAAGGCGGCATATATTTCTGAGATTTGAATCTGGCACTTAAAAGTGCTCCTTAAAAGTTCCTAATGAATATATTTCAAACACTCCAACCACTGGGTCAGAGACCAAAACAAGGTTGAAATTTTCTCCCTCTAAGGGAAATGACATCTCAACCACCCGCCTCTGCCCTAGGAGACATCAGAAGCTGAGAAACAATCTTGAAGAAACAAGGACAACCAGCAGCTGTTACAGGTATAAAAAGCCTGCAGGGTAGTGCCAAAGGATGATAAATGCAGACTATTAAAAAAAACTATGTTTCTGAGTAGATAA